TATATTGGTGAATCAAAAATACAGTGGTTTGATTCATTCTGAAAGTTGCCATATTCAATTGTTTGATCCATTAAATATTGGAAGGTGAGAAAAGTGTACAATAGGGGCTGAACAGTAGTCCTATAAATATACCCTAATAATCCTCACTAATCATGGAACTGTAATGACAACAGTTCAACTGTCCAGTTGCCAGGCTCCAGGTTTAAACTGCTACGTATGGTTTGCATTCCATAATGATTACATGTTCCAAATTATTGCACAACTTGTAATTTGTTAGCCTAATATGATTCACTATTGCTAGCGGTCCTCAGAAACAACCACACGAACGTGAGTAAAGAAAGGTAAACTAATGATGTAATGGAATGATGCAAAATGTAAGGAAACTGACAATAAAGTGACAGTAATAAATGTATGCTGGTATAACTAACGGTGGCTACCGATAGTGGCTAATATTGAACACAATACAAATGGTAAAAAATACAGTGGAAAGTCGGGGTATATAATGAAAATACTCTAGAAATCATTAATCAACATGGTGGGTTACATTTGCGCATGTCTACAGAAGCCTATAACTTGGGTCTCCACATTTCATATCTGCAAGTTATAAGGCCAGCATTTCATAAACTTTGTCTCTAGCGATCATAAGGTAAAATAGATCTAAAACATTTGTCATTTATATGTACAATCCCCTTTTCCAAACAGCTTACTCATTTACCTAGCTCTTGTCAATAGCTCTTATCAATTTGTAAATTACAGTGCATGGAGAATGGTGTTATTTATTTCGGAAAAAATAAAGAGGTTCCATTTAGACCTTATTCATTGTTTCATTGTGTGTGAAGGTGGTGGAATTATGAAGGAATTAAGTCAAGGTCAGAATACGGCGAATCTGTAGACACACCTCCACCACACCTTAATTTCTTTAGGAGTGCTATTCTCTTGCTTAAGTTCAAGGTCAGAATACTTGCAAAGAGAAAAGTACATAAAAACTGAATTACGCTCCATTTACACACGCTTAACTTTTGGTTGGAATTCCCCCCCATCTGAGGAAGTGGAAACTCAAAACCCATAAGCTAGATCGATAAATATACACTGAGTATACCAAAAATTAGGAAGACCTTCCTAATATTGAGTTGCATTCCCCTCTTTTGCCCTCAGAACACCCTCAATTCGTCAGGGCATGGACTCTACAAGGGATGCTGGCCTAGGGCTGTTACGAGTCATGAAGGCAATCAAATTCCACGTGACTGTTTAGTCACGGTTATTAGGCTTCTCCAAGCTCTGATGCTGCTGATGGTCATTAGTAGCCTACCAAACTTTCCAACTGCCTGGTACTCAGCACGCTATTGTCCCTCTAATCACTCTGACATCAATGCAAATGTAATCAAAAATCGAATCAAACACTTCATGAGAGCCCATGAGCTCATGTTGCGCAACATTTCTATAGGCTAAGCAATTGCATGAGAAAACAGAGTGATGACTTCTATTAAAAAGAGAAGGATCCCATCAGCAATCTAAAGGCTAGGCCTACTATATTTATTTCTGAACTTTCCTAATATTAAGCATATTGCTTCTCTTTAAAACAGGAATAAAGCCTACCTGGCTGGCATAAAAAAAGCGTCCTCCATTCGCAATTTAAGTGCATAGAAGACATGTATTTTTTCCCCTGCCCCTGTTTCGAGACAGATGCATGATAATGGTCCATTCTAAATTAAAACAGATTTAACACATATATTATTTAGTATATGTAAAGACAAGATTAAATCAAGAATAGTGATGGTTACAATATTTCCTATCACTTGTGAATTATACAGTGCATTCGGAAAGTATTCAGACCCCTTGACTTTTTCCACATTTTGTAACGTTACAGCCTTATTATAAAATTGATTAAATGTAATATTTTCTCTCATCAATCTACACACAATACCACATAATGACAAAGCAAAAACAGGTAAAATAATTTTTTATAATAACAAAAATAATAAACGGAAATATTACATTTACATAAGTATTCAGACCCTTTACTTTACTTTGCATTTTAATGAGGGAAATAAGTATTTGACCCCTCTGCAAAACATGACTTAGTACTTGGTAGCAAAACCCTTGTTGGCATTTACAGAGGTCAGACGTTTCTTGTAGTTGGCCACCAGGTTTGCACACATCTCAGGAGGGATTTTGTCCCACTCCTCTTTGCATATCTTCTCCAAGTCATTAAGGTTTTGAGGCTGACGTTTGGCAACTCGAACCTTCAGCTCCCTCCACATATTTTCAATGGGATTAAGGTCTGGAGACTGGCTAGGCCACTCCAGGACCTTAATGTGCTTCTTCTTGAGCCACTCCTTTGTTGGCTTGGCCGTGTGTTTTGGGTCATTGTCATGGTGGAATACCCATCCACAACCCATTTTCAATGCCCTGGCTGAGGGAAGGAGGTTCTCACCCAAGATTTGATGGTACATGGCCCCGTCCATCGTCCCTTTGATGCGGTAAAGTTGTCCTGTACCCTTAGCAGAAAAACACCCCCAAAGCATAATGTTTCCACCTCCATGTTTGATGGTGGGGATGGTGTTCTTGGGGTCATAGGCAGCATTCCTCCTTCTCCAAACACGGCGAGTTGAGTTGATGCCAAAGAGCTCGATTTTGGTCTCATCTGACCACAACACTTTCACCCAGTTCTCCTCTGAATCATTCAGATGTTCATTGGCAAACTTCAGACGGGCCTGTATATGTGCTTTCTTGAGCAGGGGGACCTTGCGGGCGCTGAAGGATTTCAGTCCTTCACGGCGTAGTGTGTTACCAATTGTTTTCTTGGTGACTATGGTCCCAGCTGCCATGAGATCATTGACAAGATCCTCCCGTGTAGTTCTGGGCTGATTCCTCACCGTTCTCATGATCATTGCAACTCCACGAGGTGAGATCTTGCATGGAGCCCCAGGCCGAGGGAGATTGACAGTAATTTTGTGTTTCTTCCATTTGCGAATAATCGCACCAACTGTTGTCACCTTCTCACCAAGCTGCTTGTCGATGGTCTTGTAGCCCATTCCAGCCTTGTGTAGGTCTACAATCTTGTCCCTGACGTCCTTGGAGAGCTCTTTGGTCTTGGCCATGGTGGAGAGTTTGGAATCTGATTGATTGATTGCTTCTGTGGACAGGTGTCTTTTATACAGGTAACAAACTGAGATTAGGAACACTCCTTTTAAGAGTGTGCTCCTAATCTCAGCTCGTTACCTGTATAAAAGATACCTGGGAGCCAGAAATCTTTCTGATTGAGAGGGGGTCAAATATTTATTTCCCTCATAAAATGCAAATCAGTTTATAACATTTTTGACATGGGTTTTTCTGGATTTTTTTGTTGTTATTCTGTCTCTCACTGTTCAAATAACCCTACCATTAAAATGATAGACTGATAATTTCTTTGTCAGTGGGCAAACGTACAAAATCAGCAGGGGATCAAGTACTTTTTTCCCTCACTGATTGAAGTGGATTGAACAAGTGACATCAATAAGGGATCATAGCTTTCACCTGAATTCACCTGGTCAGTCTATGTCATGGCAAGAGCAGGTGTCCTTAATGTTTTGTATACTCAGTGTAATTTCCTACTAGTAAGCTGTGTAATTGATAAGTCTAACAGTACATTTTATGTCTTGAAAAACTTTGCAGCTTACTACCCACTGATGTCACCTTTATATAGACCTGCCACCACGAATGGCAGATGGGGCGCTAGTAGATATATATTTATATAAAAGTTGTTCAGTTGTAGAGCTGCTTAGGGAAATAAAAGTGGCATCTGTTAAAGAATAGGAGAGCCGTACACTCTAGGAGCTCAGATGCAATAATTTTCTAACCAACGTTTCGACAGCCAAGCTGTTTTCGTTCCCACAGCCAAGCTGTCTTCATCACCCTGATGAAGACAGCTTGGCTGTCAAAACTTTGGTTATTAGATTATTGCATCTGAGCTCCTAGAGTGTGCGGCTCTCCTTTTCTTTTTCAAGTGCTCTACTCCACTAGCCAGCACCTCGCCTAAACAGGTGTGCATTTCTTTCGCCTTCACAGAATATCTGACCTACTGCAGACCTGTATGTAGGGCAGTGGGATAAGTGGGTTCCTGCTGAGTAATATTATAGTATTCTTTAACTCCAAAAGTAAGACAATAGTTCACTCACTAAGGTGGAACATACAGTTCAGGGCCAGTATTTATAAAGTATCTCAGAGTAAGAGTGCTGATCTAGGATCAGTTTTAACTTTTGGATCATAAAAAACCTGATCCTAGATCAGCACTCCTTCTCCGAGACGCTTTATGAATACCGTATTTTCCACACTATAAGGCGCACCGGAGTATAAGCTGCAGCAGCTAAATTGAATGATATTGAATGATGTGTACATATTTAAGCCGCACTGGACTATAAGCCGCAGATGTTTTAATGTTTAATTACCATATGTAAGGGTTCGTGCACAGAGGGGATTTTCGGGAAAGAGACAAACTGTCTCGCTCTCGTAATGTCTGTCTGTCTTGCTCTCGTTCTGTCTCTCGTTCTGTCTCTCGTACCACTCTCGGTTCCACTTTTACTTTTGTGCGCTACCTGTCTCACTCTTTTCCGGCCTCCAGCTTTTCCTGCTGGAGCCCGCCGCCTAAAGGTGGGGGGCGCGGACCGGTCATAGAGCCCATAGAGTTAAAGTTGGTGGACTGTAACCTGTAAAATCCATAGATTTAGGAGGTCTTCTAGTGGCCGTTAGCTGTAAAAATCCATAGATTAGCCGCACCGTTATATAAGCAGCAGGGTCGAAAAAATTGGGAAAAAAGGCGCGGCTTATAATCTGAAAATTACGGTACATAAGTTTGGACTGCGGTAAAATGTTTGCCGTTGCCGTGGTTGTCACTGTCCTACCAATCAAATGTTAAAGTCCCTAATGTACATTCCATAATTGCCCAACGTTCAAGAAGGGTCTGCAGACATGTGTTATATGGCTCTTGGAAGTTCTTGATTAAATTAAATGATTGGTTACCTCCTGTCCAAGTTGGTAGCTTTGACTGCTGCAAACACACGTGTCTTCAGTGTGAGCCCCGCCATAGGGATTGACAGCTGCTGAACGTATGACGAGTCCTTTACAGAGACACACAAAGAAATCAACAAGTCACAATTGTTTTAGTCCCTCATATTAACATGTAGATGAGGACAGGATTCATGAATTGCACTGGATTTGTAATCTGTTCAAAAATACCCTTTTTTAATTCTTATTATTCATTTAAAAAATAAATGTAGGGTAAATTGGCACAAATCTCCTCCATTACTGGAATAAAAAATAGTTCTGTATGCACAGTTATTTAACCTGTAAATGTATAATAGCCACAGTATCCCTGTATTTCCTATCCGCTGTCAAATTCCCAGTTATGACAATTCCTCATGAAAACTACTCAATACTTCCGTTGTCTGGATGTGATAGAACTTCTATTAGGATATGACAGAACTTTGAGTTGCATTTCAGAAGGAGATAAAATGAATGTAGTGTCTTTATGGTTAATATGTTTTTGTGGTACAGTGTTTATGGTTCACTTTCATTTTACCATTTTGCTCTACAGTGCCTTCAGAAAGTATTCATACCCATTGACTTTTTCCACATTTTGTTGTGTTACAGCCTAAATTTAAAATAGATTAAATTGAGATTGTTTGTCACTGGCCTACACACAATACCCTGTAATGTCAAAATGGAATTTTGTTTTTCGTATTTTTTAAATATATTAATTTAAAATGAAAAGCTGAAATGTCTTGAGTCAATAAGTATTCAATCCCTTTGTTATGGCAAGCCTAAATAAGTTCAGGACCAAATATTTGCTTAACAAGTCACATAATAAGATGCATGGACTCACTCTGTGTGCAATAATAGTTTTTAACATAATTTTTGAATGACTACCTCATCTCTGTACCCCACACATACAATTATCTGTAAGGTCAAGCAGTGAATTTCAAACACAGATTCAACCACAAAGACCAGGGAGGTTTTCCAATGCTTCGCAAAGAAGGGCACCTATTGGTAGATGGGTATAAATAATAAAAGCAGACATTGAATATCCCTTGGATGGTGAAGTAATTAATTACACTTTGGATGTGTATCAATACACCCAGTAACTACAAAGATACAGGCGTCCATCCTAACTCAGTTACCGGAGAGGAAGGAAACCGCTCAGGGATTTCACTATGAGGCCAATCGTGACTTTAAAACTGTTACAGTGTTTAATGACTGTGATAGGAGAAAACTGAGGATGGATCAACAACATTGTAGTTACTCCACAATACTAACCTAATTGACAGAGTGAAAAAAAGGAAGCCTGTACAGAATAAAAATATCCCTAAACATGCATCCTGTTTGCAACAAAGCACTAAAGTAATACTGCAAAAAATGTGGCAGATGAATTTACTTTTTGTCCTGAATAAAGTCTTATATTTGGCGCAAATTCAATTCAACACATTACTGAGTACCACTCTCCATACTTTCAAGCATAGAGGTGGCTGTATAATGTTATGGGTATGCTTGTCATCATTAAGGACAGGGGAGTTTTTCAAAATAAAAAATAAACGGAATGGAGCTAAGCACAGGCTAAATCCTAGAGGAAAACCTGTTTCGGTCTGCTTTCCACCAGACACTGGGATATGAATTGCTTACCAAGAAGCTCCTGTGTGGCCTAGTTACAGTTTTGACTTAAAACTGCTTGAAAATCTATGGCAAGACCTGAAAATGGTTGTCTAGCAATTATCAACAACCAATTTTACAGAGCTTGAAGAATTTTGAAAATAATAATGGACAAATTTTGCACAATCCAGGTGTGGAAAGCTCTTAGAGACTTATCCAGAAAGACTCACAGCTGTAATCGCTGCCAAAGGTTATTCTAACATGTATTGACTCAGGGGGTTGAAGGTATACAGTATCTAATCAAGATTTGTTTTGATGTATTTATTTGTTTATGTTAGAATTTTTCTTCCACTTTGACATTACAGAGTATTTTGTGTAGATCGTTGACAAAAAATTACAATTAGATCCATTTTAATCCCACTTTGTAACACAACAAAATGTGGAAACAGTCAAGGGGTGTGAATAGTTTCTGAAGGCACTGTATGTACGTTTTATTCCTGGTTGCAAACTTTGCATGTATAATATGGTTAGTAAATCTAGCAGTGAAAGTGCATCATAGAGAAAATGCAATTGTGTCATTTGTAAAAATGTACTTACATTGTAAAGCAGTAGACTTAAAGTACTGACAAAAGTACCATTGCTGTCCTTCACTGATATTGCAGCAGCTGACCTTGAATAAACATGGAAATTGAAGTTATGCTAAACATGATTTATTGAATGATTTATATCCAACATTATGAGTCACATATGCATATTGTTTATCTTGGTTTACTTTAAGATATCTTGATAAATGGACCATATGTCAATGTGATGCATGATTCTCTTTTAATATACAACTGAGATCCTATGACCTTCTCATATCATGTGTTATCTTCATTGTGCTCTTCAGTTTACTGCCTCTCTATGTACAGTATATCTAAAATGCTAATCAATTAAGTCCATTGACAACCCAATTTTGACACACTCATATGATGTCACTACACTGACATTGAATTATCTGTATTATTAACTGTATTATCAATTCAGAGGCATTTTAGACATGTGAATGGATAACAATCATCATAGAAACTTGAGGGATTATTTCACAGCACTTACGAAGCCAGCTGTGTATTGTTAACCAGGTATTCCAGAGGGTAGCTACAGCTGAACTTGTAGAGCAGACCTGGCAGGTAGCTAATGATAGTCGGGGGATCTGGTGTATCGATGTACCCTGATATGTTCCCAATCTGCACCAGTGAAAGGTTCCCATAAGCATTAGGACCCTGAGCCGTGGAAACCTGCAACACAAAATCGAGTCAGGTGAATGCCTACCCAATCTCATCCCCACCATTATTGGAGTCAAGGTCCCATCAGTAGGGAGGGCCAGAGACGATAACATCAACCATACTATGAAGCTAATGCCCCCTCATCGTGCTAATCCCTAACTGTATTCCCTTTATCACAGCATCAGCGGCCCAGGAACCACCCTACAATCAAAACAACAAAATGGGGAAGAAAGCAACCTTAGTAAAGGCTCCACGCAAATCTCTCCCACTGTTTCTAGGAAAAAGCAATCACCTCTCCGGGGCTTCCATTCTCCCAACCCCAACCACCACTACAATTACTGAACCACTGTCCCATGGAAACTAAAATCTAGGTTGTCAACATCAAACCATAGACACTGTAGATGACTGTGTGTACATATTTAAGTTGATTCCTTTTATTAGTAGGACCTTTTATTCAGTTATGTATCTCCTTTTGTTATTGCTGCCTTTTCGAAGATTTGAAGGCTTGGGCGTGATGTAAGTGCTCTGTGGTTGGAGCCACGGTAAGAGGAGCCATGATCTGTCATGGACTCTTTAAGGGTTTTCCGGATACAGATGAACCTTAGTCCTGGACTTCAAGACATGCTCAATAAAGCATCTCAATTGAAAGTTATTTTTAGTCCAGAACTTCATCTGTTTCCAGGAAACTGGCCCATAGGTGTGATAGAAGGCATTATAAACAGGTGGTTGGAAGAAGCATGGGCCTCTTACCACCAGGGCATTGCCACATGTCTCCAGGGTGGCTAGGCTAATGCTGAAGAGGACCACGGTGGGGAAGGTGTTGTTATTGATGAAACCACGGCAGTGGGCATCTCCGTGGCGACCGTTGAGGGCCAGGTCAGTGTCGGTGTAGCCGGAGAAGAGAACAGGACAAAAGTTGATCTTGAGGGTGATTGTCTGCACCCCACAGTACACACTAATGTCCCGCTCCGCTGGGAGAGAGCAGAGAAAACAACACCAGTTATTATCACAGCACAAAATCATATTATGGCCTTATGTGCATTAATTTTTTTCAAAGAGGGATAACTAAACAAGGCTAAAGAACAAGACTAAAGAAGGCTCACACTGGCATTGAAAATTAAACCATGGATATTTAATTGATTTGAGCTATATTTGGAGATGTCTATATCGACAGCATCTTGATCGGCTTCATCACCGCCTGGTACGGCAACTGCACTGCCCGCAACCGCAAAGATCTACAGAGGGTGGTGCGGATGGCCCAATAGTTCACTCCCTGCCTTCCAAGACATCTACACCAGGCGATGAGGAAGGCCCGAAGGTCATCAAGGACTACAGTCACCCGGACCACGGACTGTTAACTCTGTTACCATCTGGCAAGCGATATCGGAGCATCTGGTCTTGGACCATTGGCTCAGAGACAGCTTCTACCACCAGGTCATCAGACTGTTGAACAGCTAACAATACCATTTTATTTGATTGTAAGTGTAAATAAAGGTTCCACTGTTTTACCCAAGACCTTAGAATACATTAGAAATAGCAACTATTCACTATCCTAAATATGTTGCATGCATCAGTCCAATATGAGTTAAGTTAAAGTTATATGTTATATTCATAAAGTTTTATGAATAACCTGCATTGAAGTTGAATTTAAATTAATATAATGTATTATTTATTTTCTCACCAGGGAAGCGGCTGTGGAAGTTGGCATCACAGTTGTATCCATTGAATTGTGCTCCAACTGATAGTGCCTTACTTATAAGCAAAAGGATCAAACATATTTGTTCCATTTCAGCACCTGGAGGAAAACGATGTTTTTCATCAGTCTTTGCCATCTTCCATATCATACATATTTGGGTTTAAGAACTCCCTGATTCAGTTTAGTGGACATCATAGGAATAAAAATGTAACATGATTTTGTTAGTTATTTCAGAAATCACAGTGAGACAAACCTTAACTTCTATGAAGATTAAGGTGCAAAGAAATCCACCTTCAATCTAATTCAAAAAGGGTTTCTTTGTAAATCCTAGTTATTACCAACAGCGATAGTGTTCACACATAAAGACAATTATTTTGCTAGCTTTTTGGAGTCTGAACATTATCTATCTCAAATGCAGACTCATTAAGATATAATTATTTGTTAAAACCATGGACAAAACAGCTAAATGTTGATATAATCCACTGTCTTGGTTATCACCGTAACATTACTAAGCACAATGGGCTAAGTCTTTGTTTTCTCAATGTCTAAAAGCCTTTTATCAGATGATGATAATATACTTATGGTATCTTATGATGATCAGATAAGGGTTGTTGTTGTGGAGAAACATCAACTTTTCAAAAAGCTGGGCTCCCTTAGTCAATGCCTGTTGAGCTTCCCTGGCTAGCAGTGGAGTTGAGTTGTTCGAGGTCGTCAAGGTAAAAAACAACCCTAGTGCTACTCACCCTGATCCGTGGAAGTCGGTGAATCAGCTGTTCTCCATATGCTCGGGACTGCTGCATGTGATAGAATGATCCGCACAGCATCCCTACACCACAACTAGAAACATAGCGTGGGTCGGGGGGGGAAAAGGGCCCGGCAACATAAGAGATTCATTATTTGAACACATCAACAAAAAAAGGGCTGTCCAGGAGAACATGGGAAAGTCCATCAAATCTGAATGTGTTATACAAATCCTTTCACAAACCCAGAAACATGAGCAGGTTTTGAAGTTTCCCACTCATATCCTTTCTGCTTGATCTGGCTCTGTCAGCGCACACAAACAGTTTGACGCCGCATGAGGTCCGTGCTAGGGGAATTATCTTTTCATCAGCCTACGGAGTGGGTGCAGCGCGCTGACTGAGCAGCTCTTTCTCTCTTGCCAGCAGTGGGCCCAGGTCTTTTCACGCTTTGTGTCCAGCCTTCCTCCGTCAACACATCTCTGCTGGCCTTCCCTGGTATCCTCTCTGGGGTGGCGAGCCACCACCCGTCCCCCTGATGTCTCAACTTTGACTCCTGCTCTCAGGCTCCCACACAGGGAGAGTAAAAGGCCACTGCGGCCTCACAGTAACTTTTATGGAATTAGCAAGTCCCTAGTGTTCCATGATCCACATGGACAGCATTATATGTGCAGGGCTATATAATGTGAGCCATATAGACAAAGCGCAGATAGTATCTCTTCTGTGGGTGCGGAGGTCTAGGTATTACTTTTTTTTTTTAAGGTCAGGTAGAAGCCAAAACAAAACACACACTCGATTGGTCATTATGTTAGCTAGTTCACCAGTTTGCCTCCCCATCAGTGACATATTGTGTACCTACAGTACCAGTCAAAAGTTTGGACACACCTACTCATTCAAGGGTTTTTCTTAATTTTTTCCATTGTAGAATAATAGTGAAGACATCAACACTATGAAATAACACATATGGAATCATGTAGTAACCAAAAAAGTGTTAAACAAATCAAAATATATTTTATATTTAAGATTCTTCAAATAGCCACCCTTTGCCTTGATGACAGCTTTGCACACTCTTGGCATTCTCTCAACCATCTTCATGAGGTAGTCACCTGGAATGCATTTCAATTAACATGTGTGACTTCTTAAAAGTTAATTTGTGGAATGTCTTTCCTTCTAAATGCGCCAATCAGTTGTGTTATGACAAGGTAGGGGGGGTCTACAGAAGATAGTCCTATTTGGTAAAAGACCAAGTCCATATTATGGCAAGAAAAGCTCAAATTATTAAAGAGAAACAGCAGTCCATCATTACTTTAAGACATTAAGGTCAGTCAATACGGAAAATCTCAAGAACTTTGAAAGATTCTTAAAGTGCAGTCGCAAAACCCATCAAGCGCTATGATGAAACTGGCTCTTATGAGGACCACCACAGGAATGGAAGACCCAGAGTTCATTAGAGTTATCAGCCTCAGAAATTGCAGCCCAAATAAATGCTTCACAGAGTTCAAGTAACAGACACATCTCAACATCAACTGTTCAGAAGAGACTGTGTGAATCAAGCCTTCATGGTCGAACTGCTACAAAGAAACCACTACTAAAGGACACAAATAATAAGAAGAGACCTGCTTGGTCCAAGAAACACGAGCAATTGACATTAGACCGGTGGAAATTTGTCCTTTGGTCTGGAGTCCAAATTTGAGATATTTGGTTCCAAACGCAGTGTTTTTGTGAGACGCGGTGTGGGTGAACGAATGATCTCTGCATGTGTAGTTCCCACTGTAAAGCATGGAGGAGGGGGTGTTACGGTATGGGGGTGCTTTGCTGGTGACACTGTCTGTGATTTGACGGTACATGGCCCCGTCCATCGTCCCTTTGATGCGGTGAAGTTGTCCTGTCCCCTTAGCAGAAAAACACACCCAAAGCATAATGTTTCCACCTCCATGTTTGACGGTGGGGATGGTGTTCTTGGGGTCATAGGCAGCATTCCTCCTCCTCAAAACACGGTGAGTTGAGTTGATGCCAAAGAGCTCCATTTTGGTCTCATCTGACCACAACACTTTCATCCCAGTTCTCCTCTGAATCATTCAGATGTTCATTGGCAAACTTCAGACGGGCCTGTATATGTGCTTTCTTGAGCAGGGGGACGTTGTGGGCGCTGCAGGATTTCAGTCCTTCACGACATAGTTTGTTACCAATTGTTTTCTTGGTGACTATGGTCCCAGCTGCCTTGAGATCATTGACAAGATCCTCCCGTGTAGTTCTGGGCTGATTCCTCACCGTTCTCATGATCATTGCAACTCCACGAGGTGAGATCTTGCATGGAGCCCCAGGCCGAGGGAGATTGACAGTTATTTTGTGTTTCTTCCATTTGCGAATAATCGCACCAACTGTTGTCACCTTCTCACCAAGCTGCTTGCCGATGGTCTTGTAGCCCATTCCAGCCTTATGTAGGTCTACAATCTTGTCCCTGACATCCTTGGAGATCTCTTTGGTCTTGGCCATGGTGCACACAACATTCAGGAGTCAGTCCCAATAACCAAACTTCCCTTTTCTACACTTCGGTTCAGGGAGCTTATAAGGGGGTTGTGTGAGAGAGAGTACTCCTTAGTTCTAAGGTCTTAGCTAAATATGAATGAACAGCAAGAATAAAAGTGTTGGTTAAAACCTCAGGATGGCAAATAGTACAGTTATTCACATATCCAGATAGTCATCTCTATCTAGACTCCAGCACTCGTCATTCATTCATTTTTCACAGTTGCATCTCTCTATATGGCAGGCGATTAGATGTGGAAAAGCATCTCACGCCATTAAACAGGACCAACACTTTGATGGTCGAAGCCACCATTTTAATGTTTTCATCGCCTCACATACCCAGAGATATTAACATTGTCAGGCTATAACACTATGGTCAGCCTTGTAAAAGAAAGAGGGGGTAGTATTAGCATAGTACGGGAGACCGGGTTGTCACATGTTTTACTCTTGTGTGTATTTCTGAACACCAGTATATCTTACAAGACTCTTTTCAATATTAGGAGAAAGACCAAGGTCTTACGTTGAAATGGGAAACCTTCTTATCCTTTATATCTTATTAAAACATGGAGTTATAAACCATCAAACACATGCTGTCCACTTGTGACAACCAGCCCCATAACGAGGTTGGATGTCACACAGTATGTGGTTGGATGTCACAATGTTTGATAGGGAGAGGCTATATGGACTTACCTGGTGGCCAAAACTGATGATGTACACTACCAGTCAAAAGTTTGGACACATCTACTCATTCAACGTTTTTTCTTTATTTTTACTATTGTTTACATTGTAGAATAATAGTTAAGACATCAAAACTATGAAATAACACATATGGAATCATGTAGTAACCAAAGAAGTGTTAAACAAATAAAAATATATTTGAGATTTGAGATTCCTCAAATAGCCACCATTTGCCTTGATGACAGCTTAGCACACTTTATATATTTTTTAACAATTTTTTTTTAGGGGGTAGATCAGATTTAATATTGCAGATAGATTGTACCTTCCATCAATGTAATTGTCTGCATCACTTGCAATCCCCCATATGTTTTTTTTTATACAGTTGAAGTCGGAAGCTTACATACACTTACGTTGGAGTCATAAAAACTAGTTTTTCAACCACTCCACAAATGTCTTGTTAACAAACTATAGTTTTGGCAAGAAATAAAACCTGAAATAAATCAATCAATCAATCAATTTTATTTTATATAGCCCTTCTTACATCAGCTAATATCTCGAAGTGCTGTACAGAAACCCAGCCTAAAACCCCAAACAGCTAGTAATGCAGGTGTAGAAGCACGGTGGCTAGGAAAAACTCCCTAGAAAGGCGAAAACCTAGGAAGAAACCTAGAGAGGAACCAGGCTATGAGGGGTGGCCAGTCCTCTTCTGGCTGTGCCGGGTGGAGATTATAACAGAACCATGCCAAGATGTTCAAAAATGTTCATAAGTGACAAGCATGGTCAAATAATAATCAGGAATAAATCTCAGTTGGCTTTTCATAGCCGATCATTAAGAGTTGAAAACAACAGGTCTGGGACAGGTAGGGGTTCCATAACCGCAGGCAGAACAGTTTAAACTGGAATAGCAGCAAGGCCAGGCGGAAAGGAGTCACCAAATAATTCTCTCTACTATTATTCTGACATTTCACATTCTTAAAATAAAGTAGTGATCCTAACTGACCTAAGACAGGGAATTTGTACTAGGAATTGTCAGGAATTGTGAAAAACTGAGTTTAAATGTATTTGGCTAAGGTGTATGTAAGCGTCCGACTTCAACTGTATATATATACAGTGGGGAAAAAAGTATTTAGTCAGCCACCAATTGTGCAAGTTCTCCCACTTAAAAAGATGAGAGAGGCCTGTAATTTTCATCATAGGTACACGTCAACTATGACAGACAAATTGAGTAAAAAAAATCCAGAAAATCACATTGTAGGATTTTTAATGAATTTATTTGCAAATTATGGTGGAAAATAAGTATTTGGTCACCTAAAAACAAGCAAGATTTCTGGCTCTCACAGACCTGTAACTTCTTCTTTAAGAGGCTCCTCTGTCCTCCACTCGTTACCTGTATTAATGGCACCTGTTTGAACTTGTAATCAGTATAAAAGACACCTGTCCACAACCTCAAACAGTCACACTCCAAACTCCACTATGGCCAAGACCAAAGAGCTGTCAAAGGACACCTGAAACAAAATTGTAGACCTGCACCAGGCTGGGAAGACTGAATCTGCAATAGGTAAGCAGCTTGGTTTGAAGAAATCAACTGTGGGAGCAATTATTAGGAAATGGAAGACATACAAGACCACTGATAATCTCCCTCGATCTGGGGCTCCACGCAAGATCTCACCCCGTGGGGTCAAAATGATCACAAGAACGGTGAGCAAAATTCCCAGAACCACACGGGGGGACCTAGTGAATGACCTGCAGAGAGCTGGGACCAAAGTAACAAAGCCTACCATCAGTAACACACTACGCCGCCAGGGACTCAAATCCTGCAGTGCCAGACGTGTCCCCTTGCTTAAGCCAGTACATGTCCAGGCCCGTCTGAAGTTTGCTAGAGT